TCAGTAAGATATGTGAGTCACAGGTAAAAATTTGAATTTTCTAGTAGATACTTGATAATACGGTTTTTAAGGTAAAATTATTTTGGTAATTTGTTCCACTAAAAATATTTCAATATGCATTCAATAAAAAATTAACCAGTATATTATCATGTTTATATAGCTTTTGAAATCCAGTATGTATATTACACTGGTAGCAGATGTCCATCAAAAGTCAACTTTTCATTAGCAGTAGTTTCATAAGATTTAGTTGAAAAAGTACCTAATTTGCACTAACAATTCTTAAAGTAATAGTTGAAAGTCAAATGCATGAGACTTATTTCCAGTGCTCAGGATCCATGTATGAGCAGGTGCTGGGATACTGGATAGAGCTGAGTTTAGAATCCTCAGCAATATAGAAAGCTATGCTGGACACTGTGGCTGTAACTCAGCTCACCAAGGAGGTGCTGGTGGCAGTCTTGGGAAAAGAGATTTTAAATGAGTTTTTAGGCATATCTACAATATCAGCCTTTTTTTGTGTGTGTTTGTTTGTTTGTCTTGTTTTGTTTTGTTTTTTTTTTGTTTTTTTTTTTTTTTGAGACAGGGTTTCTCTGTGTAGCTTTGCACCTTTCCTGGAACTCACTCTGGAGCCCAGGCTGGCCTCGAACTCACGGAGATCCAACTGGCTCTGCCTCCCAAATGCTGGGATTAAAGGTGTGCGCCACCACTGCCCGGCAATATCAGCCTTTTTTAAAAGCAGGGTTGCTTCAACAGTCACACGTTGCTTAGTGATGGTGCTGTGTTAGAATGTTTTAGTTGTGTGAGGATCATGGAGTGTGCCTGCATACACCTAAATGGTTTGGTCTCCTACCCTCTAGGCTATATGGTACATGTGTAGGGTAGCCTATGGCCATGATGAACATGGGATTAATCCGGTCCATGAGCAAATGAGGCAATGAGGAGCAGTAAACGTGTGATGTATAAAGGACTGCCATCATGGATGTGTTCCATTATCCACTGAAACCTTGTTGGACAATACCTGCCTGTACTTAACTCTAGAAGGCATGAACCTCGCTTGTGTGTATTTGGTTATTACAAATGAAGTTAGCATTTCAAAGGGCTCAAGGTCTGGTTTCTTTTGAGCATTTTTGTGATTGTTCGCCGGTGATAGAGCAGTCCAGTACAAAATGTGTTACAGACTTCTTAAGTATTTGGAATCAGGTATAAAAAATAATTACAGAGTATTGGGGGATAAGATAAACTAGAGAGATGCTGAACAATAGACATAAATGGAATCTTTTTTAACTTCCAATTTGGCTGTATTTTTCCTAAAGTTTGTGTTGTGTGAAATATCAAACAGTTCCCTACACTGAAAACCAGGATTAAAGGAGGAACAGTGACGAGCACGGGGAACCTGAGAGTCGAGGTTAAACGATCGGTCTTCAGAAGATGGAAGCCGTAAGCTGCTGCTTCCTAGGATCAGTGTATTTTAGGGTTTTCTCTCAGTACCACAGTTCTCACTGCAGTTAAGCTACATGCTATTAATACCTTCACAGAGTCTCCATCTCTGCCTTTGTCTGAGAGACAAATCTGAGTTTCTAGAATTGCAAGAGCCTCTCATCACTGTAACTTAAGAGGAAGCAGGAAACTCAACTCTATGGCTAGATGGCGTCCAGAAATATTCTTAGCCTCTGGCTTCGTGGGAGCTGCTCTCCTTGTCTTGGATTTTGGTAAGGATAGAATCTCAGCTCCATTAGAGAGGGCGCTCACAAAGACAGCTGTCAAATCCCCACACCAGTCCTCTCCAGAACTGCCAAAGGTTGACACCTCTGCACGTTTGTCTCAAAAAATCTTTATTAGCAACGAGAAATTTAATTTCCTATGCAAATTAACTTCTAACGTGTAAGGGAAACAAACACCACACAGAGAGGTAGGGTAGAACCTTCTCCTTCCAGCCTGAAGCTTTCTCAAAAAGCATCTCTCCTCTTCTGTCTCCCCAGTCTCTTCAATTCTTGTTGGCACTGGTTGCCCTGGTTATTTATCCACTCGGAAGGGTAAATGTGGTCTGCAACTCTTAAAGCTGTCTCAGTACCACAATCAAAGGAGAAGTACAATACAGGTAATCACTAGAAAGTGTTTAAAAAGCACTTGGAGCAATTCTTGAAAAGTAGGAGAAATCAGTAGGGTGAGCTGAAAACTTGGTTTTAAGTAAAAGACTTCTTTAAATAGACAAAATGCTATGAATCGGCTTGGAGTAAATTAATATAGCAGGGAAGGAAAGTGAAGAATCCGTTTTGTAAAGGAGCCAGCTTCATGGTCTTCTATGTTAAGTTTTATGTATCGGAATGTGTGTCACACAGATTTTCAAGTCTGTCCCTACTTCTCAAGTTGGTAACTTTATACACACACAGTTCCAGTCACATGATAAGTGATAAAATAGAAGTTAAAATTTTTCCAAACATAAATATGCCCCCATGCTCACTTTATTTATTCTAATGGGTCAGAAGAATGAGGCAGAGGCCAAGATTGGAAACAAAGTTAAGCTTCTCCATAAGCTGAGGAGTTAAGGCACCCCTGTCCACGGCACAGGCATAACTGTTTCCCCAAGACTCTGCCTCCATCCATGGCTCTCTTTAGAGAGAACCCCATGTCTAGCTCCAGAGCAGAAGGCTTTTTCCTTAGTATTTATAATTCATGAGTTTCCTTTTAGATTTATTTTATGTATGGGTGTTTTGCCTTCACATGTGTATGTGCGCCATGTTCCTGGCTGGAGCCTATGGAGGTCAGAAGAGGGCATGGGGTTCAACTGGAGTCATGGATACTAGCGAGCCACTAGGTAGGTGCTGGGAACCAAATCCAGCTCCTCTGCAAGAGCAACAAGTGCTCTTAACTGCTGAGCCATCTCTCCAACCCCATTTTTTAAGTATGAGGAAAAACTACAGTTCCTTCTGATTTTAGCATTTTATTTTATAGTTTGACAACTTCATAACCAGAAATGTTCCAGCAGAAAGTGAGCTTTGAATATTTATGCTTCAAACAAGCCTAGAAAGACTTTAGGGGGAAATCTTTGATCTTTAAAAGAAAAAAAATAAACCAATAGTTTCCCTTCAAACACTATTATTCTAAAAACAAACAAACAAAACACAACAAAAACCAATTCATTCTGTTATGCTCATGGAGAATTCTATTCTGATTGGGATATTGATTTGGTTGGTTGAGACATGGCTTAGCAGTTCAGGGGCCCTACTGCTTTTGCAAAGGACCAGAGTTTTCTATTCCAGGAACCCACAAGGGGCAGTTCACAACTGTTTGTAACTCTAGCTCCAAGGGGTAAGGAGTCCAATCTGACCTACTTGGCATCTGCACACATGCCCCCCCTTAACTAAAAATAATAATTATCTAAAAACCATTGATCTGGAGGAGGAAGGGATGAGTAGATGTCTCCTCTTTCCTTATAACAGTTCCTAGTTGTAGAAGAAGATACTTCGTATGTAGCATCTCTTCCCTCCTCCCATTAAGTGATGTTGGGAAACTCCTGTGTTAAGCTAATTTGCCATGAGAAATATAAAGCCCTTGAATGGAATATCCAGAGCCCATGGGATTTTTATTTTTTAACAGACACCATGTGCTACAATCTGTTACAGTCTCCAAGGCAGGGTGGGGTGGGTGGCTCTGCAAGGGCCAAGAACAAAGTCCTCTGTGGGAATTTGGGAAGTATTAATCAAAATGGGAAACCGGTTCGGCTGCAGCTTTACAACTCCTTCTCTTTGCCCTAAATTGTGAGGTTTATTAGATTATCTTTAAAAATAAATACCCAAACCAAACTAGCCAGTCAGTCAAAGCAGGGAGAAACAAAAGAGAGTCTTCGGAGAGGGTTACGCTGCCACTCATTTTGTATTTTAATTCAACCTACTGGTGATTTAATTTACAGATCTCAAAGGAAGTGTACGCTCAAATATTTGAGGACGGTAACATATCAACCACTGTTTAATTTTGGAATGTTCCTACTTACTTGACACAATATTTTACCAGCTAACAAATGTTTAGCCTTTTTTTTACTTGACTAAAGAGAAATAAGTTTCACGTTGCTTCGTTCACCTTCTTATGTGCATATGCTGGGAGACTGGATGTTAAAAAAAACCCAAACCTTCCTCATGTTCCGTCCTACATCTAAATCTGTTTACCAATTTGGAGCTGCTGAGAAACCTGCATTTTCCTGCTAAATCAACTGGATGGCTAGAGCCCAAACTGCAATGTAACAGAAAAAATTATCAATTTGTTTTCATGACAGTCTTGAGAATGTATAAGATTGTCTGGCCGCTAAGTCAGCCTTCCCAATTCCTCCTTCTCGGTCTCTTCTCTTAAAGATGCCTTCAGCTCTCAGCCGGTACTTTTTATAGCTATATATAACAGCTCTAATATTTTGTGACATTTTGTATTGTGACACTATAGATGAAATTGTCATCGGACTGACACCCTGTGCTGCTTATTCCTTAATTACAACTGTTAACACTGCAGAGAAGTGTGCTAATCTGCCAGCACATATTATGAAAACAATGTTATTGTTACCCACACCAACACCCACTCAACAGGACATTTCCAAGATGGCAGTGAACAGGGACGTGTTGCACACTGGCCATGTTAGTTTTTTTGTTGTAGTGAGGCTTATGAGTTTTAACTTATCCTGTTGTCTTCTTTTAAAACTACAAATGACCTGTGTGTGGGGGCTCATACCTGTAATCCCAGTGCTCAGAAGCTGAAACAGGAGGATTGCTGTGACTTTGAGACCAGCTTGGGCTATAGAGTGAAACTTGGTCTTAAAGACAACACAAAATACCAGAAAGAAGAATCTTTTACACACTGAGAAAAAACCACGAGTTTGCAATTCAGAATAGTTCACTGCAATGTAGTGCAGACCACCTCCCCAGTTAAAATACCTGCTTTGTTTTTCCTTCTAGTGCTCATCCAGCGGTGGTGAACTGAGGAGACTCGGCGCTGTTGAGTTGAGGGCTGGGACCCACAGCTTCCTGAGTGTATTTCTTTATTTTTAAGTTTTAGAGAGGGGAGGGGAGGGCAAGTGGGAAGATAACCCCAGGGGCGAGGCTGTTTTCACAAGGTTGGGAGTCTTCAAGTCGGTCAGAATGCAGTAGCTACTTCCAGCTCTCATGGGTCTTTTTCAAAATCATACCGAGCCTTCCTGAAACTGAGTCCTTTAGTCAGAATCTCAGCGAAACCTGTCTGAGGCACCCAGTCCTGTGGATCCGCTTTCTGATAACTAGTGTTAGACAAGGGCAGCTAAGCAAGGCAGACTTCTATCACTCTAAGCAGCCCCTGTTCCTGTTCTCATGGTGAATAATGGAAGACTAGACAGGGTGTAACGAGGCTGAATGTTTAACACACACAGCACTGCTTTAATACCATCCTTAACAAACATTCTGTCTTAGCATTAGCTTTTAACCCTCCCATTGCAAATCTACAACCTTGCAGTAGTCTAACCTGAGACCTGTCAGTGGCTCTCAGACTGACCTTGCAGTAGTCTAACCTGAGACCTGTCAGTGGCTCTCAGACTGAC